CGTGGCGTTTGTGGCTCGAGCAAGCATCCTCCTTCTGCAAGGTGAAGATGGCTATCTTGTCTGTAGCTGGCCAGAAGAATTTAAACTTTGTGAGAGGATGCGTTCCATGCTGACTGTCGATCTTATCACTGTCACTAATTCCGAATTCTCCTTTGGACCAACTGGGACCTCGTTCAATGTAGCGGTCACTTTCAGTGATTCCACGGAGTGAAAACTTGGAACGGCGACACGCCTTGTGTACCAACCAACTAGCTGATAGGGGTTAGATTCGCAAAAACGGTCGAGACTTTCGAACAATCGATTGTCCTCAATATCCGTCAGCCTGTGGCGCTTCTGAGGATCTGTCCGCTGATCTGATTCTGAGACTGGAAGATGTGGATGCAAGCGTGGGAGAAAATACAAGTTGACGACCCCACAACAGCTTTGATTAACGCTTGTACTGCAGCAAAGATCTTTAGGACTTTCATGACTCGTCTTGGGCTCCGCACATTGCTCGAGGGCAAAGGCGCTTATTCTCGATCGATGATGCGATACCGAACTTCGTTGATGGCTATCTACCTCAAAAGAAGACGGATGATGATTCTCGCTGTAAACGCCGTGCGGCCTGAAACTTGAACCGCGTAAATAGTAACCGGACTAGATGAGACAAATTGATTGAAGGCGTTGAGACCGGGTTAGGTTGTTGTGGGTTGGCGAGCCGAGTAAACAAGGGACGAATGAAGAAACATGCGGTAGATATATCCGCCTAGTCCTGAATGGAGATCTCGAGTGTGGACGGACACTAAATAGCTACTAAATTCAGTGGTGATCCAGTCGAGATTGGTGAATGATAACAGGCCGATTAAATTAAGTGTGGGCAGGGAGGTTTACTGTTATGTAGTATTGTGGGTACCTTCTCCTACCGAGATAATTCCTCAGTAGCATGAACCTCTGACTACTTAACTGTGCTGATCTCGTGTTTGAAGGCATGGTAATGATACTGTACTTGACTGTCCACAAAGCACCCTAGGTAGGCACGCATTAGCAATAAGAGACTGGGGCAGCTTCATGGACAGGATCTGCAGCCATGTAACCCCTATCAGGGTAGGTACCTTACCTACCTAGGTGAGGTATTAAGTTACCTAATGCTCGCTTATGAGAAGAGTGACGGAATACGTTGCAGCCTACAGTCTTGGGACCCGGCAGTCTGGGAAGCGGTGTGCAAATCTATTGATTTTCCTCAATATCCTCGGACATTAGTGAAAGATGTAAGTAAGTTGCCACTCGTCACATGGATCAAAGGTACACGAACTTTATTTGCTGCTAGGGGCGTACGTAGTTGTGCTTGTTACTGGACTAGGTAATTGGTACCTACGGACAGGTAGAGTTCGAGATCAAGGCTGTCAAGGCGAAAAACTCGCATACAATCAAGTCAAAAGCCTAAATCCTGCGAGTCAATGACAGCAATCAGGGAAGGTTGTCCTACGCGCACGGTGCGCCCTGCCTAGGAGTGCAGATCAAAAATTTCCTTGAGCACAGAATCTGCGGACTTTAATCTAACAAGATTAGCACTTATTTAGCAGAGAGTGATTCATCTAATGCTGTACCTGCACCCGCTGCTGCAGTGTGCCCATTGATTATCAATTGCCTAAACTTTATTGTTAATGGCTCACATGATTCTCTGGCTGAGTTATTGTACTTTCCAGGCTCAAGACATGGCCTTCGCTGAGGCAAGGCATGGTACCTATGATTGTGGTTGGTATTTTGGTTTGGACCCTTTTCCATGGATCTACGGAGTATTCGAGAGTCGAGACAGTTGACAGAATGACAGATACTCCATGGACACAGGCCACAGTATGCAACAATCGTGGTCCACTTCGGAGCGGATTGCATGCAATGCCGTGGGCTCCAAGCGGTTGATGGACCATGGATGAGCCAGAGAGTAAATAGTCATTTGGGTACCGACTACGTATTAGTAAAGGTAATTCTTAGATAAACTAGTAATAATGATATGGAGCCTGCGAATTACCTAGTATTATTGAGATTCAGCGTCGGGGTTCCCACGGGCACTAGGGGTAGCACCGTAGCAGAAGTGCTCAAAGAGGGATGGACATCCGAAAAGCTTCGGATCCTTCAACCAGAGTGTTGGGAACACGACCAGATAAGCTGATTAGTTGAGTTCTGAGTGGCAGAAACTAAAAGAAGTTTAGCAGTAGGATGACGCCTTGACGAGTGATGACACGAGGATATATTGGTATGGTAAGGAGTACAGTAAGAGACGGCATCCCTGATCCATCCGTATCTGCTTAGCTGATAATTATGAACCTAGGTCTCACCAGTCACCGGACGGAGTGTGCTCATCATTATTGTTCACTGCTCGCAGTATCTACCAAGATAGGTACTTTGCTTTAACTCTGGACTCCGGATGGTTGGTAATATCTTACTATTTGCCCAGGCCCGAACCGAAATGGTCTAGCTGCGGAAAAATAATCCACTGCAATTGGACAATTTGACTTTGACCAAAAGTGGACGACGGTCCGGGTCCGGCCCGAAAGTCACTTTTTGGTTCTTTGTCCTTTTACTCCGTACTTTGAGCGGGAATTCTGGTAAATTTTGGTGGGACCCAGGAGATACCCATTTTGAACAAGAACAATCGGAAAAATGAAATCAAATTAGAGGCCCCTCCTTACTACCTTAGTACTATTGACGGGAACAGTTACGCTATCTTTTCCTCCGAGGATTAGTACAGCCCTTAGTTTCCTTCGATATCCTGGATGTTGGTAACCCACAATTTTCTATTGTTGAGTAGTCACTACCCACTGGTACCTGGACGGAGAGGGGACACACAGACTACAACCTAAGTGGTACCACATACTTAGTGGGGATCATCTTCAATAGTCAGCAGGCACAAGTCATGATGACAAGATTCTACGCACTCAACTGTTCAAAGAACAGAGAATAAAAGAGCCATATTGTCTGGGAGGTTATTCCCCAAACCTACGGTACCAGGGTTGGCACCCGCTAAAGTGGGTATACCGCCATTTTCCTCCGTTGGTCGTTGCTAGTTTGTTGGCACTCGCAAGCTCAAGATTGCTTTCAAATTTAATTTTTTCCGTGCGGGCCCGAAAACCTGGGTACTGATGGGCCCTAGTCTCAAGTAAGAAATTGTAGAAAAAAGTATGTTTCATAAGGCTTAAAGTATACATACTAGATCATGGACCGTCTGGATGTCTCCTGTATAAAGGGTTGGGGCGTGAGATGAGAGCGTATTATCTCATACTGCGAAAGGGAGGTACATACATGGATCATAAGTCTCCCGGGAAGCAGCCCCTTGTTGATGCACTGAAGGCTGTGGAACACTGCACCTGATCCCTGACTAAATAGAGCACTGTTGAGGGCCAAAGTATCTACTAATCAATAGCGATGGTAACACTTGTCTTCGAGGCATTCATATTGTTCGCTATTCGCTTGATTAGAGTTAGGCAATCAGCCATCAGAGACCCTGTCTAATCCCTGCAAGTAGTCGAGTACGCTTTGGTCCATCGAGCACCAGAGAATGTGGTCGGATCATGGAGCATAACCGAGTCTCCTGAAAATTCACTCAAGAAATGAAAGTTCGAAGTAGCGCTGAAATGGTTCCTTCTTCTGCATTGGCAGGGTCTTGGATGCGTTCGCTGATGGACTTACAATAGGTCAGTTGGTAGGTTGGTACCTTGCTCCATAGGTAGTCTCTTCTTGAGATCATGATCATAATGATGCCTCTAATTATAACTGCCATATTATTATTATATTCTTGATCGTTTTGTCAGACTTTACATTGCCATCAACTTGCCCCTTTTCATACTCTACGTATCCATCTAATCAATCGAGCACTAATCAAGGCGTCGTAGCCAACCATCAGACCAATTTGAGTGTATATGAAACCACATCTTTTACTCATACGTGAAACAGAGTACCTCATCAACCCATACCCGACAGTCCCCCTCTCTTCTTCGTAGTCTCTGTTTCCACCCTCGCTGAACTAATTGGCGCCTCAGGCTGACCGATCAGTCTAACGCTGGGCCCTTCCCAACCGCCCCGCCTTCGCGCCCGTGGGCCTGACGGGTAGGGAGACAGCGGTTGCACAACCTTAAAGCCTTGGTTGCTGTGCTTTGCTTTTGCTCCTTACTCCTTTCATCTCTTCTTCAACTTCGCACTGTTCCCTTCTTTATTGATTTATTTATTTTCTTCTTTTTTTCTATCGTTATAATTATCATATTATGGCGCACTTCTTTGTTTTCCCCCTGTACTAAATAATAGTTCATTTTTATTTATTTTTATTTCTATTTTACTTTCTCCGTCATTCACTCTTCTTTGCATTAATTAACCGCCCCTCGCTCCATCCCAATAGGTTCTTCCTTGATCGTCCATCATCGATCCATGGTTAATCTTGATTCACTAATCCATTAGATACATTGTCTCTGCCTGCCTACATCCAGACGATAGAGTCCATCGAGCCGGAATCCTGCATGGTCGCGTCGTGACTGCTCTTGTGTGGTTCCTCCAGAGGCTTGGGTCTTCCGCGGGGAGGCAGCCGCGGCGCTTCAGGTCCGTTGTTACCTTTTGCCTCCTAAATGCTAAGCTGACCACCTTCTGATTCTGTCGTTGGGTGTGCAGTTCAGCTGAGTTTGAGAGTGCCCTGTATCACGGAATCTTACCTATTCTTACTGTGTGCGTGTGTTGTGTGTGAATGATTCTTATGTGTTTCCTTCCTCGCCAAAAAGACCTCTCGCCCCCTTCGATCACCTTGTCCATACTTCTATGCAGTATTCCTGCAGCCGCTGTGCTCAGCCTTTTCCTCCTTCCTATATGTTCGCTTTGATCTGTGATAATAGCCACCATATCTTCTTCTATCGATATACCTCTCCACGACCGATTTCTGACCAGTCAACATTGTGTTTTCCTTCTTTAACCTCGTCAACATACTATTCTGTTTCTTCTTCTTCTTCTTCCCCATTACCCGATTGGACCTCCTCGACCTGATGTTCCTCAACGGGCAGGGTGGACAGCGACCTCCGATGGTGGCCTCCCCGCCACTTAACGTTCGCGGATCTATTTCGTCAGATTTCAATGCCCTAGGCCGCTCAAGAAACAACTCCGATGCTATGGACATCTATACAATCACAGACAGGGGTCCGGCTGCAGAGAGAGACCCGGCCGCTGGTCGTTGGCACGCCAATGGTTCCCCAAGCATTAATTCTACCAGTAGCAAGTATATCTCTCTTCCCCTTCTCCCTTCTCTTTTCATATTCTTGCTCTCCCTCCTTTGAGCTGCCGTCAAAGCGGTTAATATTGCAACTTTGTTACCATTGGGTGACTAATATACAACCTTCCTTTTCTTCTCTTCTCCCTTTAGGAATCCTGACAGATACCCTTGCTATCAGGAGAACGGACGAACGTACCATGGATACCGCAAAGGAATCTACATGTTGCCGTGCGACGAGCAGGAGCAGGATCGTCTAGATATCTTCCACAAGCTTTTCACTGTGGCGAGAGTCTCGGACGGACTGATCTATGCTCCGCATCCCACCAACGGCCGATTTCTCGATTTGGGATGTGGGACAGGGATTTGGGCGATCGATGTGGCCAACAAGTATCCAGAGGCCTTCGTCGTTGGGGTTGATTTGGCCCCCATACAGCCTCCAAATCACCCGAGAAATTGCGACTTTTATGCGCCATTCGACTTTGAAAGTCTTTGGGCTCTTGGGGAGGATTCGTGGGACCTGATTCACATGCAGATGGGCTCTGGCAGCGTCGCAAGCTGGCCCAACCTCTATCGGAGGATTTATTCCCATCTCCGTCCCGGTGCTTGGTTTGAGCAGGTCGAAATCGATTTCGAACCCCGTTGCGATGATCGCTCTTTGGAAGGCTTGGCTATTCGACAATGGTACCAGTTATTGAAACAAGCCACAGAGGAAACCATGCGGCCGGTTGCTCACAATTCACGTGAAACGATTCGAAATCTGCAGGAGGCCGGATTTACTGAAATTGACCATCAAATGGTTGGACTCCCTCTCAACCCTTGGCATCAGGACGAGCATGAGAGGAGAGTGGCTCGTTGGTATAACCTAGCCATCTCGGAGAGTATTGAGACGATGAGCCTGGCCCCTTTCAGCCGTGTGTTCGGTTGGCCTATCGAACGAATCAAGCAAATAGCAGCCGATGTGAAGTCGGAGGCTTTCAATAAAGAGATCCATACTTACAACATACTGCATATATACCAGGCTCGAAAGCCCCTCGCCAATTGACCGAGATCAATCTTGCATCCTTCAAATCTCTGAGATCGTGGTTGCTAAACTGCGCGCCATGAATGCGGATCTCCACCCTCAGATTGAACCACCAATCGTGCTTGGAACACGATCCGAGCGATCTTCCTCCATCTTGCTTCAAATTCTTGTTACAAAACTGTACTGAACATCTCAGAGACCGGTCCGCCCCACGCGGCACACACCCTACAAACCCACAAACATCCACCATCTCGGTCGCCAACTTCCATGACCGACCATCCTTCCTCGTCAATACCAGATTCATGCGCACGCGGAAACCTCTGAAAGCTCGCATGAAAATACTGGAACGAAGGCTTATCCCGTTTCCTGCCCGTCAGAAAGCCTGACCGTTGGCTTTTAGGACTTTCTAAACGGTCAAGGAATATATATAGATCAGAGGTCACCGAATTTCGGTGCCGCCACATTTACGACCCATGCCGCGGGGAGTTGTGATCGACTGATATCGTGGCACCAGGGACATGGAATTGCTCTGATAACGACACCTCCACTGGTTGGACAGAAGGAAGATAGGAGTGAACCAGATCTCGCTGAGACAGAGGGACACAAATTCCTTTTCTGTTTTGGCCGCATGGGTCGCGATAGTTGCACTGCACTTTATAGCATGCCCTGGCGTTCTGTAGGGAAGGACGTTGCCGTTTACAGTGGCTTTATACCCAGATCACCTTGCCTTGTTGTATGGACGGCAGTACATGCCTCTTGCTATTGTTTTTTTCCACCCCTTTGTCCTTTTCGAAGATGAATTCTTGGAAGAAATTCTGGCTATAATGATATTGATGACATGGCACGAGCGACTGCCTTGGTATGGAAAAAAAGACACCCAGCCAACACATTGGATATGATCTCAACTCATGCCTTAAACTCGTGGTCAAAACTCTTCGAAGATACCCATTTTTGGGAATCCTTAGAAAAACCCCCCAAATCTTTAGTTACCATCATGATATGTGTGCCGTCAAACGCCGTAAATGCTTTCAAATGTTGCAGATCACCCGAAAGTTGCTGTAATGACCATGGGTGTTTCATAAAGAACAGAAGAGATCTGCTTATTTCCGCCGGCCCCTTTGACCTCTACCAGCACCGGGCTTCCCACTTTCTTTGTCTCCGTCTCCATTGGAGTTCATCCACTCCCGACCTGCACCGGGACTCCGGCGACGCATCGTCCCCGGCCCTACCGCCACTATGTCCTCCTCACTTTCACTGTCAGAAATGTCCAGGAGGACCGGCATGCGGAAAGCTTCCATCTCGCTGTCCGCACCACTCTTTAGCGGTTCGATGGTGAGGACATCGGGGGCTTCATCTTCCTGGTCGAGACGCCGTTGGTGGATTTCCTCCGCCGGGTGAATGTCGAATTCATCCTCCCGTTCCATGTACTCGACATTTTCTTCGACTTCGCCGAAATCTGGCGCCAGGGCGGACCACTTCTGTGGCGTGACGATGGACCACGTGTATATGCAGCCGGATTCTAGGCCACAGGCGACTACCATGGGGCGCGACGGGTGCCATTCGACAACGCCGAGCTCTTCACGGGGACCCTCGAGAATCTTGACGAGGGAGCCGTGGCTTCGCTCCCAGACGTAGATGTCCGGATTCATAAAGGTCGAGGCAGTGACAAATTCGCCGGTAGAGGAGAAGGTGACGTGGTTCCAGCTTAGTCGGTTGACCACGTCCTGGAACTTATGTTCCACTTGCAGTTTGATGTTCGCGGGCTCGAGGTCGATCCCTAGTTGTGACAGGTCAGGCATGATGATGGTCCGAATTACGCGATCAGAACTGTTGACGAGTAAGTCCCGGCCATTGCTTGCCAAACGGAGGAGAATGACCACGCCGTTACAGAGCCGGGTCGAGTGGATGGTCGTGCAGGTCTGCGTCTCGATGATATTGATCCACCCCTTGGACGTGCCTGCTATGATGTGATTCCCGAATGCCGAGAATATTGTGACGCATGTCGAGTGCTTTGCATCTTGCGCGGCTTGTTTGGCGGCCACGGCTGGGTCGACTTCTTCTGAGGCGGATGGCGGAGGACGAAATGGAGCGGAGGGGAGTATTCGCTTGATAGGTTTGGGCGACGAAATATCCACGAGGACTGGTTGGTCTTCGAAAAGTGAAGCGACGAAGAGTAAACTGCGACCATCCGACATGCTTTAGACAGGACTCTAACCCCTGCAGGAGCAAGGGACACTCACTGGTTGAAAGGATGTAGTTCTGCAATATACACAGGGGCCTCAAATCGGACAGTGCGCACGCGGGAACCGTCTTTCATGTCCCACAAAATGCATTTCCAGTCCTGGGAGGAGCTGAGGAGGTATCGTCCATCTCTAGACCAGCTATTCCTTCTCATTAGCACGACATTCTCTCAGTTGACTCGGCAGGGGAGTAATTCCCACCTGAGAGATTGGATCTGTCTGGTATGACCGCGGAGTTTCCGCGCAACCCCATTTGTCTCTATATCAAAGATAACCACAGTACCGTCCACCTATAGAAGGAGGTGTCAATGAGGATTCGAGGTTGGTGGGCCCGAAAGGAAGAGGGTTGTACGCACTCGTCCGGAAGCCAGGTAATCTCCTTTGCGATTGAAGCGCAAACATGTCGCGTGCCCGCTTCCTGTCGCTAGTTAGCCACGTCGTATTGAGAAAGGGAAGGGAGCGCCGACGGACTCAATTTCTCTGTCAAGGTGTCGGGATAGTCCTGGGCGAGGACGAAAGGATCAATGAGCGACAAATTCATCGTGGTTTACTAGCGCGATTCAAGTGAGGACAAAGTGACTGCAGTTAACGGAAGAAGATTTCCCAGCCTGAAGAGAGGCCAGGAGAGATAATTGTGAAGGATTCATCCAGCACCCTTGGTGGCTAGGTAATCTGCGAGCACAGTCGGCGATAAGAGGTGAATCAATCTTTTGGCTGGATTATCATATGAGAGGGCAGTCGCTGGGCGGTCAGTTGCAATTTAAAAGTCATCAGCAGTACTCATAGGCACTATCATATGAACAACTTGATTGGATAATCCCGTATTACAAATCTGATTTTTCCGCCAACTGCCAAGTTTTTACGGGTTAGAGCTGCGGACTTTTAGCGGGCACCGCGCTAGTGCTGCTGGCTGCGGCTCAAGAAAACTCGTGCCCCATCCGAACTGAAGTGACATCCAACCATCTCCCTTTCATCATCTCGACTCGCTGCTTGCCCATCCCTCAACCCTCCAGATCATCGCGTCTCGTATCGCGATATCTACCTGTCTCTCATCGGGCTATTGACCTCGACGTATTCGATCGAGATATACCCTTTTCCGCCCTTTCGCCCCAAGTTTCGCGGATTCGGGGACACCAGGTCGCAGGCGCCCTCGTGGCAAGGGCTGCCAAAGGCCTCAGCCGGCCAGCTGCTTACAAACACTTTCATCGTCGCTCGAGCACGCTTGATTGTTAACGCTCTAGTATCGCTTGATTTTGCTTTGTGCGACTCGGATCGTTCGTTTCGTTGATCGCTAAACCGCCTTCGTTTCCTCGAGTTATCACATCTACATCCGACGACCGATCGCCACCATGTCGAACGTTTACTTTCCCTACTCCAAGGCGCCTTTGCGCACCATCAAGGAGATCCAGTTTGGTCTCTTCTCACCGGAAGAGATCAAAAGGATGAGCGTGGTGCATGTTGAGTATCCTGAGACGATGGTTCGTACAACTTGGCTTCTGTTGACTGGGGCTTGTGGTGTGGGATGACTGATAGGTCGAAATGATAAATAGGACGAACAACGGATGCGGCCGCGGACAAAGGGTTTGAACGATCCTCGCTTGGGTACGATTGACCGGCAATGGAACTGTGAGACCTGCGAGGAGGGTCAAAAGGAGTGTCCTGGGCACTTCGGACACATCGAGCTGGCGACTCCAGTCTTTCACATCGGTATGTTAGATGTATACAAATCTGTTGCAGATGCTAGAAGCTAACGCTATACTCTAGGTTTCTTGACCAAAGTCAAGAAACTCCTTGAGACTGTCTGCCACAACTGTGGCAAGATCAAAGCCGATACGGTTAGTCATCCCTACTTGGGATGGCAAATCCTACATGGCATGATATGCTGACATAGAACCAGTCCGACTCCAAATTCTTAGAAGCCCTACGCATGAGAGATCCCAAGCGACGTTTCGACCATATCTGGAGACTCTCCAAGGATGTGTTGATCTGTGAAGCAGACCCTCCGCCGGACGAGGACGAGCCGTTTTCGAAAGAGAGCTCCAAGCCTCTCCGGAGGCATGGTGGTTGCGGTAACGCCCAGCCCACGATTCGTAAAGAGGGTATCACTTTGGTTGGAACATGGAAGCCCAACAAGAGCATGATGGATGAGGATGAGATGCAGCAGCCGGAAAAGAAAGTCATTACTCCTCAGATGGCCTTGAATGTCTTCCGCAACATTTCCCACGAAGATGTTCGCATCATGGGCTTAAGTAATGACTATGCTCGTCCTGAATGGATGATCATCACTGTTCTGCCTGTCCCCCCTCCTCCTGTCCGTCCTAGTGTTCTCGTCGGTGGCAGCACCAGCGGCCAGCGCGGTGAGGATGATCTGACTTACAAGTTGGCTGAGATTATCCGAGCGAACCAGAATGTCCAGCGATGCGAACAGGAAGGCGCTCCTGAACACGTCGTACGCGAGTTTGAGTCGCTTTTGCAGTACCACGTTGCCACCTACATGGACAACGATATCGCTGGTCAGCCGAAGGCCATGCAGAAATCGAACCGACCGGTCAAGGCTATCCGAAGCCGTCTGAAGGGTAAGGAGGGTCGTCTTAGACAGAACTTGATGGGCAAGCGTGTCGATTTCTCCGCTCGTACTGTCATTACTGGTGATCCGAACCTGTCTCTGGACGAGGTCGGTGTTCCAAGGAGTATTGCTCGGACTCTGACCTACCCCGAAGTTGTCACTCCGTACAACATCGAGAAGCTGCAGCAGCTTGTCGCCAATGGCCCCAACGAACATCCTGGAGCTAGGTATATCGTGCGGGACAACGGGGAGCGTATTGACTTACGCCATGCCCGAAGAGCTGGAGGTCAACAGCTGCTGTATGGCTGGAAAGTCGAGCGGCATCTTATGGATGGCGATATCATTCTGTTCAATCGTCAACCTTCCCTGCACAAGGAGTCTATGATGGGTCATCGTGTCCGTGTTATGCCGTATTCGACTTTCCGACTGAACCTGTCTGTCACCACCCCTTACAACGCCGATTTCGACGGTGACGAGATGAACTTGCACGTTCCTCAGAGCGAGGAGTCTCGCGCAGAGTTGAAGCAGCTCGCCTTGGTCCCTTTGAATATCGTGTCTCCCCAGCGTAACGGTCCCCTTATGGGTATCGTGCAAGATACTCTCTGCGGTATCTACAAGATTTGCCGACGTGATGTCTTCTTGAGCAAAGAACAGGTCATGAACATTATGTTGTGGGTTCCAGACTGGGATGGAGTTATCCCTCCGCCAGCCATCTTGAAGCCTAGACCTAGGTGGACTGGAAAGCAGATGATAAGCATGGCTCTTCCATCTGGGCTCAATTTGTTGCGTGTGGAGAAAGATAACTCTAGTCTGGCAGAGAAGTTCTCGCCTCTGACAGACGGTGGTCTGCTCATCCACGGCGGACAGTTGATGTATGGAATGTTCTCCAAGAAGACTGTTGGTGCTAGCGGTGGTGGTGTCATTCACACAATCTTCAATGAGTACGGGCCGGATACTGCGGTGGCTTTCTTCAATGGTGCACAAACCATTGTCAACTACTGGCTGCTTCACAATGGTTTCAGTATAGGTATTGGTGACACCATTCCCGACGCGATCACGATTCAGCGAATCGAGAATTGTGTGCGAGAGAGGAAGAAGGAAGTCGAGGCTATCACAGCAAGCGCCACGGAGAATACTCTGGAGCCCCTGCCTGGTATGAACGTTCGAGAGACCTTTGAGAGCAAGGTTTCGCGTGCGCTCAACAATGCCCGTGACGAAGCTGGTAGTGAGACTGAGAAGAGTCTGAAGGATCTCAATAACGCCATCCAGATGGCCCGGTCTGGATCTAAGGGTTCGACGATCAATATCTCTCAGATGACTGCTGTTGTGGGCCAGCAGTCCGTCGAAGGCAAGCGTATTCCTTTCGGATTCAAATATCGTACTCTTCCCCATTTCACCAAGGATGACTACTCTCCGGAATCTCGCGGATTTGTGGAAAACTCTTATCTGCGTGGTCTAACCCCAACTGAATTCTTCTTCCATGCCATGGCCGGTCGAGAAGGTCTGATCGATACTGCCGTCAAGACTGCCGAGACTGGTTATATTCAGCGAAAGCTGGTTAAGGCCTTGGAAGAGGTCATGGTTAAGTATGACGGTACTGTCAGAAACTCTCTGGGTGATGTGATACAATTCATCTACGGAGAAGACGGTCTTGATGGTGCTCACATCGAAAACCAGCGGGTCGACATTATCAGATGCTCTGATGAGAAGTTCAGAGAGCGATTCCGTGTGGATCTCATGGATCCCGAGAGGAGCCTGGGACCTGAAGTCTTGGAACAGGCCAATGAAATTGCTGGCGATGTTGAAGTCCAGAGATATCTCGACGAGGAATGGGAGCAATTGCTCAAAGACCGGGCATTCCTTCGCACTGTCGCGAAAGAAGACGATGAGATGATGCAGCTTCCCATCAACGTGCAGAGAATCCTTGAAACTGCCAGGAGCACATTCCGGATACGTGAAGGGGCCATTAGCGACTTGCATCCTGCCGAGGTCATCCCTCAAGTCCGCTCTCTGCTCGATCGTTTGCTAGTTGTGCGCGGCGACGATCCAATCTCGCGCGAGGCGCAGGAGAATGCTACACTGTTGTTCAAGGCACAGCTTCGCAGTCGCCTTGCATTCCGCAGACTTGTGACCGAGTACTCGATGAACAAGCTCGCCTTCCAGCATGTCATCGGTGCTATCGAGAGCAGATTTGCTAAGGCTGGTGCTAACCCAGGTGAAATGGTTGGTGTGCTAGCCGCTCAGTCTATTGGTGAGCCCGCTACACAGATGACCTTGAATACTTTCCACTTTGCTGGTGTCTCGTCGAAGAACGTCACCCTTGGTGTTCCTCGTCTCAAGGAAATTCTCAACGTCGCTACCAACATTAAGACGCCATCTATGACTGTTTACCAGTTGCCCCACAAATGCCACGATAAGGAATCTGCTAAACAGTTGCGAAGCGTTGTTGAGCATACCAGCCTGAGATCCGTCACAGAAGCCACTGAGATCTACTACGACCCGGACATCCAGACCACAGTCATTGAAAATGATAGGGATATGGTCGAGTCCTACTTCATCATTCCGGAGGATGTCACAGACGCCTCTTCTCGACAGTCCAAGTGGTTGCTTCGTATCATTCTCAGTCGGCCAAAGCTCCTGGATAAGGGTCTTACAGTGCAGGATGTTGCTGCCAAGATTAAGCAGGCTTATCCCAAGGATATCGCGGTTATTTTCAGTGATAACAACGCCGATGAGCAGGTCATTCGTATCCGTCAAATCCAGGATTACAAGGAAGACGAAGATGATGAGGACATTGAATACGATGTCACTCTTAAGAAATTGGAACAGCATCTTCTGGATACTCTCACTCTCCGTGGTGTTCAAGGAGTGGAACGGGCTTTCATTAACGAGAAGAGCAAAGTCCGTGTTCTTGAGGATGGCAGTCTGTTTGCGAGCAAGACCGATCCTCTCTGCAAGGAGTGGGTTCTTGAAACCAGTGGTTCTTCCCTCGGTGAGGTCCTGGCTGTCCCTGGAGTTGACGCTACGCGTACGTACTCGAACCAGTTTATCGAGGTCTTTGAAGTCTTTGGTATTGAAGCTGCCCGTACGGCTGTGCTTCGGGAATTGACCCAAGTGCTTGCTTTCGACGGTTCCTATGTCAACCACCGTCATCTGGCGCTCCTGGTCGACGTCATGACGGTGCGAGGTTATCTGACACCGGTAACTCGCCACGGTATCAATCGTGCTGACAATGGTGCCCTGATGCGGTGTTCGTTCGAAGAGACGGTGGAGATTCTATTGGAAGCTGCAGCTTTCGGAGAGCTCGACGACTGCCGCGGTGTGTCAGAGAATCTGATCCTGGGACAGATGGCGCCCGCTGGTACAGGAGAGTTTGACCTCTACCTTGACCAAAACCTCCTCAGTACTGTTGTGTCGAACAATGCACGGTTCGGCGTTATGGGAACCATCGGGGCCAAGGATGCAATTATTTCCGACGGCGCTGCCACACAGTACGATACTGGCTCGCCCATGCAGGAAAGTGCATACATCGGTACCCCCGATCCGGAGTCTGCTTTCTCGCCCATTCGCCAGGCGGGTGCCGAGTCTCCTGGCGGCTTCACCGAGTACCAACCTACGGGTGGCTTTGGAGGTGGTTTCAGCCCCGCTGCTACAAGCCCGGCAGGCTATTCACCCAGCAGCCCGTTCAGCGCCAATCCCACGTCTCCTGGGTACTCCCCAACTTCAAGCTATTCACCTACGTCTCCTGGCATGGGCATCACCAGTCCTCGTTTTATGACGTCCCCTGGCTTCTCTCCTGCCAGTCCATCCTTCGCTCCAACCTCGCCCGCATATTCACCGACGTCGCCGGCATATGGACAGGCATCCCCGACGTCTCCGTCCTACTCTCCCACATCGCCAGGGTTCTCACCGACATCTCCCAACTACAGCCCTACGTCCCCCAGCTTCAGCCCGGCTTCTCCTGCGTTCAGCCCTACGTCGCCTAGCTACAGCCCGACCAGTCCTGCTATTGGTGGCGCCGGTCGACATCTATCTCCTACTTCACCTACATCTCCCAAGTACACGCCTACATCTCCTGGCTGGTCTCCTACGAGCCCGCAGACGTACTCACCTACGTCGCCTAACTTTGCTGGATCGCCGACGTCTCCGGGAGGCCCCACCTCCCCTGGATACAGTCCTACGTCCCCGGCCTTCAGCCCTTCGTATGTACCCTCGTCTTCAGCTTGATTGATGTGTGCGCATTTGACTAACATTCTTGTTCAGGTCTCCTCGCCAGTGAGATTAGCAAGTGCTTCGGCTACTTTATGGTTTCCGTTCTATTCCTGTACCATCATCCATTCTATCGAACAATCCATAAAAAAGAACACATTTTGCATCTGATGCCGCGGACTTGGTCGGTTATTTCATCCTCAATATGGGCGCCAGCAGCCTTTCTCAGATGTATGCCTTTTTGACGTTTCAGCCTGATTGTTTTTCGTTTCCAATAATTTGAGCCACCCTGCTGAAATTGTGATACATTCTTCTGGGCTGGCGATGCATCTTGTTCTGATTCGTTGCACTCCCACTTCCCCTCGGACCTTCCAAATACCACGATGGCTTTAGAACGGAACGGTTTGTGGATGGGCGAGTGCTCTGGTCCCCTCAAAGACGTTAATGATTGTATTACTGCCACTGCTTGTTCTTTTCATGTACACAGCCTAGCCTAAATCGGATTAAAGAAGGAATGGATAAATAAAGGGAATATTATTCTTAAAAGGAAAAACATAATGTTTAGCAATGTAGGAAATTTATTGCAGGACATGATTATTCTTGTGATAAGATGATGTACATTGGCTGCAGCTTTCGAGTGTGAGGATATGTCATCGGCAAAATGAAGCTCCGCAACGCCAGGTGGCCGGTTCCCGCGTGAGCTCATAATACGCTGAACCAGCTTCCCCGGAGTCATCGAGGCCACATTTCTGACTGTTGACAAGGTGGATCGATGTCCAGTCAATTGTGAGAAGAGGAATCGCAATGTGCCTCTTATTGCTCCCAAATACTACCAAGTTTTGCCAGGCAACATGAAGAATTTATGGCTATGGCGTTTTCTGCCTCTGGCGCTCCGTAAGTATCCACTACGTCAACGGTGCGACCACCGAGGTTCTCATACTGATCATCAGCGATCAATTTCTAGTGCTGCTGCAGGCGCTCGTGGCTGAATCGAAAGTTCAGTCAGAGAATGGTCATCCATCAATAGATGTGACTTCCGAAGCATATCGGCATGGAAGCAAATATGCGGGTGAAGCTGAGGGGTCTCAAATTTGGCCCGGACAAGGTAAGAGGATATTGCTGCCAATGGGTGAACATGATTGAATGGCGACTGATATTGTCTGCTTATAGAACGTGTCGCAAACGCCCTTAGAGTCCTCCACGGAATAAAGATTTCAACCACCCGATCTGAGAAGCCATCGGGCCTCATCGGATATGCCTTACATTACGCCCAACAGGCGTTCCGCATCCTATTCATGAATGCACCTCAATCGGAGACAACTGAGAAGCGAAGAGTCGATCCGAATGTTGTCAAAGCCGTGAAAGAACTCAAGCTGGCTGCGGAGGAGGATGAGAACCCCGATGCGATGTTCCTATTAGCGGAAATGAACTTCTATGGTAACTTTACACATCCGCGCGATTTCAAGCGCGCTTTCCATTGGTACCAGAGCCTTGCGTCCTTGACTGGAAACAGTACAGCGCAATATATGCTCGGTTTCATGTACGCCACTGGCATCGGGGACGGGGTGGAGCGCGACCAGGCGAAGGCATTGTTGTATCATACGTTTGCTGCGGAAGGAGGGAACACGAGGTCGGAAATGACGCTGGCGTATCGCCACCACGCTGGTATTGGGACTCCCAGAGACTGCGATCAAGCGACGTATTACTACAAGAAAGTGGCGGACAAGGCGATTAAGTGGCATCGATCTGGGCCACCTGGTGGCTATAGCATGGCTAGTGAAGCATATCGGTGGGCGGACGAGGAGGGTGGCGTTTACGGCGAGGGTGCCAGTGTCTCAAGCTCAGGGCCTAACGCACAGCGTGATGGGGTCCAGTCTAGTACGGAGGCTAGCTTGGAGGATGTTCTAGAATACCTGGACCTCATGTCGCGCAAGGGGGAGCTCAAGGCCACGTTTAGCTTGGGGAAGCTACACTACGATGGGGCGCGAGGCCTGCCTCGGAATTTCCGAAAGGCAATGAAGTACTTCAAGCAGGTAACGAGACGCTACTGGAACAAGGACGGCTCAGTCAATCCCAATCACCCCATGGGGATCGATAAACTTGCTTCTAAAGCAGCTGGCCACGTTGGATTGATGTACCTGCGCGGCGAAGGCGTCGAGCAGAATTTCAACAACGCTCTTACCTGGTTCAAGCGGGGACTGGTCAATGGCGACTCGCTCTGTCAGCACGAGATCGGACTCATGTATCTTCACGGCTACGGCGTGCCCCAGGACGCCTTCAAGGCCGCGTCGTATTTCAAATCGGCAGCCGATCAGGATTATCCAGCCTCGGAGACCAGACTTGGAGTTCTATTCCTGGATCAGGGGGATGTCGCCACGGCGACCCGGTATTTCGAGCTGGCTGCTCGCTGGGGGTCCATGGAGGCTTTCTATTACCTGGCGGAGTTATCGAACAATGGCATCGGCCGGCAACGACACTGTGGCATGGCCGCATCGTATTATAAAATGGTCGCAGAGCGTGCCGAAGCGATTCATTCGTCGTTTGCCGAATCAAACGCCGCGTACGAGAGTGGCGATAAAGAAGCGGCTTTGATCCCAGCCATGATGGCTGCAGAGCAAGGCTACGAAAGCGCTCAGGCAAATGTAGCATTCCTGCTCGATGAGCAGCGCTCATTGTTGTCGCTCGACTCTATGCTACCTGGGGTTAAGAAGCCTCGTCCGTCTCTCCTTCGAAACGCTGCTCTAGCGCTGATCTACTGGACACGTTCGGCCAAACAGGCGAATATCGACTCGCTGATCAAGATGGGTGACTACTATCTCAGCGGAACTGGCATCGGAGCCGATCCTGAAAAAGCTTCTATCTGCTATCATACCGCTGCTGAAGCCCATTACAGTGCGCAGGCCTACTGGAACCTTGGCTGGATGCACGAGAACGGAGTCGCCGTGGAGCAAGACTTCCATATGGCCAAAAGATACTACGACTTGGCGCTCGAAGCAAATGCAGAAGCTTATCTGCCTGTGAAATTAAGCCTGATAAAGCTGCGGATACGCAGTTATTGGAACAAGATTACAAATGGAAAGGTCAACTCCATTCGAGAGGAAGAAGGTGAGGATACCCAAGATGATTTAATCGCTTACGCCTATTTACATGCTGACCGGACACCGCAGAACAAAAGCCTCGTCGGACATTCAAAGAGTGGATTGCAGCATTTATTGAGAACGACGAAGACGAGGAGGCTTACCACTCACAGTTGTACAAGCACGCGGAAGATGAAGATGACATGCTATCTTCGAATCCAGATGCCCGCCGCCTTGATGAACACCGCCATGACGATGGCTACTATGATGACCTCGAACTCGACATTGATGAGAGCGTACTGGAAGGCCTCATTATTGTCACCTTGGCTGCCACATTACTCGTACTTGTATACTTGAGGCAGCAGCGAAACAGGCCGAGGCCGAACGAGAATCCGGGTGCCAACCCAGCGGCAGTCAACAATCAAAACGACCGCGGGTTTTTCCCGCAGCCTGGAGACCCGGAGTTTGCTCAGTGGGTTGCTGGTGGTGTTGGACATTAATAGAGAAAGCATCTGCATGAGTTTGACCAATTGTACATTCTTCTAGGCACCATTCAAGCTCATAAAAGTCCTCGTAGACTTGTAAATATTAGTATTGGTTATCTTATCTGGTAGCTGTGCTTATCGATAAGCATCTTTTTGATCTACTCCTCCACGCGACGCAAGAGTGCACTCTGCCATCGATCCCAAGCCAAGTGAATCGTTTTTGAATCAAATATTTATATGTGAGGATGTGATGCAATGCAGAGTTGAATGTCAATGCTTGAAAATGTCTTCTGTTAATCTTGTTAATCTGAACGGAAAACGACGTCGCATCGAAGGTGCCGCTTCTACGCTCTCGAAGCCGTTCAAGTCACCTCTCCGCAAGCCAGTGCAGGGCACTGTGGACAAGGAAAAGGCATTCAACAATTCTTCCATCAAGACCGAGGCTGGAGGCCCAGAACCGCAAGATGTCGATGGCAAAGATGCACAGGAACATCTTATGCCGCGGACTTCCATCTCATCTAAACCAACTTCTCTTACATGCTCATCTCCCGCCTCGCCAGTTCCAAGTTTGCAAAATCGAAAACGAAAACCTGGTACAAATCAGATAACTCCGTCGAAGAAGAGCATATTAGCAGATCCTGTCATCTCAGAGCTTCAGAAGGAAGAAAGAGCCCTACAATCCAGACTGTCTGCTCTCCGCTCTGAACTCGATACAGTGCAGCAAGCTCTTCGAATTGAATCATCGTCGAAAGATGCCGAGCTCGAAGCTCTGATCCTCAAATGGAAGACTGTAAGCCAGGAAGCTGCGGAAGAGGTTTTCGAAGGAGCTCGAGAGCGGGTCTCTCGGATGGGGGGTATGAAGGCTTGGAGAGAGCGGATGCAGAGCGACAGCGCCAGGTGGGAACAGGAGGAAATGAACTCGTGGTATGGCAATGCCAAAGCGGAGGGAATTGAGATTGACGAAGAGGAACTGGAGCAGCGGAAAGCTGAGCTCCTTGATGAAGTTGAGATGCCTCGGAAGGAACAGGAGGTGGGTACTGGGAGGGAGACAGCTGAAGATGAGGTATGCTTGAATGGATTGTCACTGACTGGACGAGAGGATGCTAACGCGATATGCACAGGAATTTACAATGGAAATTATGCTGAAGACGCTGAATATCGACCTGAAGATGATCGGATATGATAAGTCGACTCAACGATGGATTAAATGATGACTTTAACGACTTATATGGTGGCATCGTTCGGAGATCTGTATATTCGGTCCGTGTTTGTATGAGTACAAGCCCTTGAGCATCCGCTGTTTATCGCCAGCAATTTGTCCAATGCTAGACAGGGACCGGGCTCATACCGGGTTCGTATCATCTAAGCGGTCTACATACAGCATTTCGAGTCAATGTGTTCCCTCTCTTGTTGCATGCTTCCGCTTCGTATCTCCCAAGACCGTCTGTGTCTCTAGTCTCGATACTGTCTTTGACCAGATAGGGGATGCTTTCCAGAGGGCTGATTGGCAATCCCCCGGCTCGCCGTGCATCGGTAGCGGCTGCTTCTTCAAGACAGATGGATTCAGGATGGGAATAGCACTAAGAGTAAGGCCTGAAATCGTTGTATACACTGATCCGCCGGAAGTATAGGGCTCTTAGATCTAACAATGGTAGTCAATCCCGAACTCAGGACGTGTTGAAGATCCGAGATGCTAGAATCTATGCCCTACGGCGCCCATCCAACCGCCATCTTCGGTCTGCGTGTCGAGAACCTTAATCACAACAACTGAGGGACGATCAAACTTTTGTCCGCTAATTGCTTGATTAGCCATCTTCATGCGAGGGAATGAAGCTTGGCAATTGGCTTGCTGCACAGTTTACGATAACAGAGCATGACCTGAGTGCCAAGAAATAGAGTACCTTGCATGATCTGCCAAGAGATAGAGTACCTTGTGTGCTATCTACCAGCAGCTGATAACAGTATACTCTGCAAAATCTTCTCAGGTATGTTTAAGCTATCTGAAATCGCGGCAGGGAGGATTCTACGGGAATGGGTAGATTGAACCCCTCAACTTTCGTTGTTACGCCGTTTACTTGCACTCCAAGCCAGCTGATCTTGCAACCATGACCGATACTAAGGAAGCCGAGTTAGATGTGCGACGCTCCGACAGTCTGGAGAAAGAGGATGATATTGCACCTGAGGATATTAGAGACATTGGAGCAAACCTCTATGCGGAGGTGGAGCAATTATCGCCAGAGGAACTGGAGGAAGAAGGGATCCGAGTACGCAAGATGTTAGATCGCAGGATATTGCCAATTGTACGTCCCTGTAGGATCCACTGTCTTGCTAATTGCGTTGTGCTGTGTATCAGTCACTGACGGCCCGCCTGCACAGCTATACTTAACCTTTGTAATGCAGTTTCTGGGTTAGACATGCTCATTCACTCGGACGATGCTTGAAGAGACCGGCTCATTTGTGATTCATAGACAAGCTTTCGCTCAACTACGCCTCGGCCTATACCCTGATCCCAGATCTCGGTCTCGAAGGCCAGAGATATTCTTGGGTTGCTGCTATCTTCTACTTTGGGTACTCCAGACCCTTCCTCATACAACGGAGCCGACTTCGCTAACCCGACAAGGTACGTGTTCTGGGCAATCCCGGCGAATCTCCTGATTCAACGATTGCCCCTAGCGAAGTATATGGGTGGAGTCATCATCATTTGGGCCGGGCTCGTTATTGCGCATATCGGCGCTAAGAATTATGCGGGTATCCTAGTCTTGAGATTCCTGTTGGGCATGGCAGAGGCATGCGTGAGTCCGTGCCGTGAGTTCCAATAAATTGTGTCATCCATCGCTTCGGACTCGGAGACTGACTAATGCAGTGATGAACTTCACTTCCATGTTCTACAAGAGATCTGAACAGCCTCTGCGTATGAGTCTCTGGATGTCTGGCAACGGCATGGCCACGATGATCGGAGCGCTTCTCGGTTTCGGACTGGGCCATTCTCATAATACCAATCTTCACAGCTGGCAGCTCATCTTCCTGACGATCGGTCTGATGAACTTTGCCACTGGTTGTCTCTTTCTCTGGCTGATGCCCGACTCCCCTAGTTCCCCAAAGTTCCTCACTCACCAGCAACGCGTCGTGGCTGTTCAGCGAGTATCAGAGAACATGATCGGAGTCAAAACCAAGCAGATCAAGTCGCATCAGGCCCTCGAAGCATTATACGACCCCAAAGTCCTTTTCAGCCTAGGAATCGGAATTGGCTGCGGCGTCATCAACGGCGGCGTGTCCAACTTCTCTTCGGCGCTCATCAAGGGTTTCGGCTTCAACGGCATCTACGCAACCCTTCTCCAGCTCCCTACGGGGGCCACCCAAGCCGTCGTGGTGCCCATCTGCGGCCTGGTCGCGACCTACGTCCGCGACTCGCGCTGCCTCGTCCTCGCCGCAGTATGCCTCATCCCGTTCGGCGGGCTCCTCGGTATCCGATTCACCAGCCTCGACCACAGATGGACTCTGGTCGGCTGCACCTGGCTGCAGTACATTATCGGCGCCCCAATCATCGTGTCGTGGAACCTCTTAGCGACAAACGTCGCCGGACATACCAAGCGCTCGATGGCCAATGGCATGTGGTTCACCATGTTCGCAGCAGGTCACGTCGCTGGCGCCAAAATCTTCTTCGCCCGTGAAGCGCCCCGGTACCACTCCGCTTTGGCAGGTCTGCTGACCTGCTATGCTGGCATGATTGTCCTGGCGCTTGCTTCGTATGTATACATGAAATGGGAGAATCTGCGGAGAGATCGCAAGGCGTCGCCGGACGATGATGTCTCGCGGCGCGAGGAAGCCGCGATTCTTGATGGGTTCAAGGACTTGACCGACATGGAGTCAAAGAACTTTCGTTATGCGTTATAAAGATTTGGCTCAAATGTTCAAAGGATCATTCGGCCTATCTTGTATATCATCTTCTCATGATGATTGTATCCATGGTTTTGATGCTGCCCTGGCTACATTGCATTTCTAAAATTGTCCGAGTCAGAAAACAAAAGAATGGGACAGTGGAGACACTACGTACAGGCTAAATGCAGAGTGGGGTGGTGGAGCCAGGGGCTTGCCACGTGACAATAGATGCGGAGCAACGCATGTGGCACGGAGAAAACTCCATGTCTGGAATGGGAAGTACGACTATCGAATGGCTGGTGAGTGCTCTTTTGAGTGTGGGTACATGTGATGAAAGCTCCCCTAGACTTGATGAAATCATGAATTGTAATTTATGTACATGCAACATTCTTCATGTCATAGTCGTTCAACCTTAAGCCTTCTCGATGTATTGATCGAAGATCACACGGAGGACCTTGGCGCTCTTCTTGGGGATTCTCTTTTGGTTGTTTGCGTAGTCGACGAAGGTGACGCCAAATCTGGTCTCGTAGCCTTCGGCCCATTCGAAGTTACTGCACGGGAAAGAAGATCTGTCAGCCAGCTGGACCGGTACCTCTGAATGCAAGGCAAACTTACTCCATCAAGCTCCACGCCATGTAAGCGCGGACATTCACACCGTCCAGCGTGTAAGCGTCCGCCATTGCAGCGATATAGTCGTGGAAATATTGCACACGGAACTCGTCGTTCAGGATCTGGTCCACAGGGAGGTCATTCTCGCCCTTGAGACTGGTGCCATTCTCAGTAACGTAGATCTTGGGCTGGTTGTAGCGATCGCTGAGCCATTTCAGCAGCTTCCGGAATCCAATGGGGTGGGGTCGCAGCCAGGGCGACTGTGTCTCGGGACCGATCCATTCGCCGTTCTTGTTCTGCAGGAGGATCTCCAGGTTGCCGGCGACGTCATTGGGGTCCGGCTCGCCTGTCTTGGCCTTGATGTAGTTGGCGCAATAGTGGTTCATGCCATAGAAGTCGTTGCTGCCGCGGACGAGGGCGATATCTTCGGGGGTCCAGGTGGGCAGGCGGTCCCCCAATTGTTTGACCATGCTGTCTGGGTACTTGCCGTGATAGATGGGGTCAGCGAACCAGGAGATAGCGAACTCAATCTTGCGATCGCAGGCCTCGACGTCCGCGGGGTTCTCGGGGTCCCAAGGCTCAGCCCAGTCACCTGGGATTTGATCAGTAACTACTTCATCGCGCTATGCACATGGAGACCAGAGCCGTACCATTCAATGTGATGCCAATCTCACCGCCGTCTCTGGGCTTGAATTCTTCTCTGTAAATCTTCACCGCCGCTCCGTGAGCGACAAGGATGTTGTGGCCGACGATCCACGGCTCGCGCGAACCGTCGCCCACGGGGCTCTTGGTACGGTCGCTGGTCCTGCCAGGGGCGAACTGGCCCACATTGTATCCAAGCACACTGCTGCACCAAGGCTCATTGAAAGTAATCCAGTACTTGACTTTTGAGCCGAAAGCATTGAACATTACGCGAGCATAGTTGGCAAAATCGGCGACAAATTCTTCCTTGTTCAGAAGACCACCGTAGCGCTTGTCGAGCGCATCGGGAAGATCCCAGTGGAAGAGGGTAACGAGAGGAGTAATACCCGCCGCGAGCAAGTCGTCGACGAACTTGACATAGTGCTGGAGACCCTTTTCATTGACAGGGTCATTCCGGCCACCGAGAGGGATGACACGAGACCTGTATTTTATGATCGAGGTGGGGTCAGCCAAAATCCGTTCTCTCAATTAGTGTCCGGAGGCTGTGCAAAGATGTACCATGAGATAGAAAAACGGTATGCCTTTGCACCACACTCCTTGAGCAGGGCAATATCCTCATGGCTGCGGTGGTAAGAGTCGCAAGCCACCTCGCCAGAGGCTCCACCGGCTATTTTGCCGGGGATTTTGCAAAATGTATCCCAAATAGATGGGCCTCGTCCATCTTCATCCACAGCTCCCTCAATCTGGTAGCTAGATAACGAAATAACGGCGACAATTAGTTAAAACCCCGATGAAAGAGGAAACATAAGGTCAGGATATACCTCGCAGTTGCGAATCCCCAAAGAAAGTCCGGAGGAAGAGTCGAAGTAGTTGTGGAGCCCATGATTGAATGGATCTCGGGGGATGGCTTCAGACAGCTTTCTTTTCCTTTCAATGGATGGGACAACTACTGAAAAAAGCAGTGCTATGCCTTAAGGATTTTCTCCAGGATGACCGAGGGGAGTGGACAGATATTTAAGTCCGTCCTCCTGGCATTTCGAGAGCTCTCCATCGTGCGATGGAGGGGTGAGCGGGGAACCGCCTTGGATAATCGACGGACTGCATCACGGCTCAACCAGTCGCCAGTTCCTTGGTCCAACCATTCTCCAGTATAGCTCCCAAGAGTGGAAGACCCTGTAAATAGTTCAGGAAGCGAAGGCTGCGCCCAGAGGAATAATGGTGTGGGGCGCGGAAGATTAATGGCCGTCATTTAGCATAATGAGGCCGTGCTGACATTCGGGGAGTTGGTGCTTGGCGGGGCACCTGAGGCACTGCAACAGCAACGGCTCAACGGGCCGTCAACCGATTGACTGTACCTATGTTGAACTTGTTGGAGGTCTTGCTATACATAATCGAGACGTATTCTTTCAACGGAGTAAGAAGGACGTAGTGGCTATCTGTCCTGGTTATGTCAAATATCATACATAGCTTTACCCGTAATGGTCCCATAACTCCCCCAAGATGCTTATTGCTAGAAACACATCCGTGCGTTTTGCCAAATTGACGCCCATCCGGTAGTAGAAATAGGAAAGTCATACATAGTCATTGAAGTCATATGGTCGGCGTGTCCGCTCCTGCACGGTAGTTTCCGGTGGTGCAGTGTCTGAATGAATTGGGAGCCCGAAGGTCAAACAATCTCCATTCCATCCACATCGTCCCCTTCGAGGTCATCCACGTCAGTCATAGCGCCTCCAACAGAAGGCCGGGATCGCTTGGTATCCCTGCTGAGATCAAGCCCCTCCGCTCCTAGAGCACCCACTAGCTCCAGTTCGGGCCCGGCAACAATCCGACCTTCCATGTCGACCACCTCGCACAGCTCAATCAAGCTCTGACGACTGAGGGACTTGAAGCCGTCGGTCCGGACAACGCGACCCCAGTGGCTGAGGCAAAATTGTGCGGCGCGCCGCATCAACCAATCTTCGTTGGTCCGCCCGGCCCGTTCCCAGATGATGGCCGCGTTCTCCACATCTAACTCGCGGCTCAAACGATTTACGCAGAGCAGGCGCAGCTTTGGCATGTCATACAGGTTCGCCATGACGAGCATACCTGCAACATCGATGATGCTGGAGCAATATTCAGGGTGCCCTGATATGCTGTCAGTGTACAGATAGTAGAGGAAAGCACGGACGACAGAGTATGGTTCAGGAATGTGCATTCTCTTAGAGTGATACTCTGCCATTTGCGCAGAATACAGTCGCTTGAAATGCGGCCATCGGAGCTGCAGGATGATGCGATGTACATGAATAGGAGGCGAGGTAGGAGCATTCGCGGGCAGGAACGCCGGCTGAGACTCTGTTGGAGGAGCATCCTCTGCCACATCGTCCGGATATTCGATGTCGTCCGGATTTGCGGTGATGATAAAGTCAGCATCACTGCCAGATTCTGGAGGTTGGTCGAAGACAGCGGAGAGATCTGCACCAAGCCCAGAAATGGGCGGCAGTCCTGACCTTTCCGATACCAAAGCCCTGCTTTGATCAGGAGACAGGGTCGCCAGTTCATTGCCAAGCAAACCGTATTTCTCCAGGTCAATGCAAAGAACTTCGCTCATATGATTCTCATCACTGTTGCCAGGAGCGGCGCCAACGTCAAGGCTGCATCCCAGCAGCCAGGCTTTGGTGCCACTAGCGTCGACTGTACAATAATGCCAGCGGTACCCGGGCTTAAAAATCTCTTGCCCATCAGCTAGTTTCTGCCAACGAAGAGTGTCAAGCTCCAAAGCCGATAACTTGCACTCATACGTCCGGACTGTTTCGGAAGGAGTGATCAGGTCGAGGAGGACACCAGATGCGTGAGCCTGGAAGTGGGTTCCAGCAGACAAGGCAGGAACATAAGGACCGGATCGGAACTTATGACAAGAGATAGCTCCTGGGGCAATTGGCTTTTTTCGACCGGCGTTGCGAACTTGTACACTCCCAGAATTTGCCGCGTAGCTACCGGACCGGCCGGGCAGCTGCTGGGTTGGACTACTATATACCGTGTCTGGACTATGAGTCAATCTGTTGAGTATTCCGGGGGAATCCACGGTACCTTGCGAAGACGGGGTTCCAAGAAACGGCGAGCCCTTGAGATCAAGCCACCAAATATCTGTTGTGCGTTCCATATCCGGGTCGAGGCCTCCGAATATCCAAAGACGGTCCCCCCAAACCCAGGCGGTGTGGTCGAAACGAGCTGTGAATCTCCAACTCCGGGACCAGGTCCATGTTTTCAGGTCAAGGTAGCATAGATCATCGAGAATCACATTGTTCTCTCCAGTGACACCGCCTATGATGAAAAGCTTCTCGTCATGAATGACAGCAGCATGACGAGCCCTTCCCCGCGGGATTTGTCCACGAATTTCCGGTTGAGTCCAGGTCGAAGTGGGGATATCGAGGATGACGATATCAGAGAGGTATTCGCGATGTTCATTTTCTCCCCCAAAGACAATGAGTTTGTCGCCTTGATAAAGAGTAGCAGTGTGTCCTATAAAAAAGGTTGAAACATATTAGCGGAACTCAAGAAATGCATTTGCTATGAATCAACCAACCCATGCGAACACCGGGAATATCGCCATAGTTATCCACAAGTTCCCAACGAAGTGCTTTCAAGTCTAGCCTCAGGACATGGTTGTAAACTATTTAAGTCCGAACGTTAGCATGAGAGATGATGTAGAGATTCGATTAAAGCGTAGAGTAAAAATCAGTATCGACCTTCGTCTGTGAACTGATCAAATCCTCCAAATGCATAGATCTGCTCATTGTTGCAATACGTCACGGATGCATTGACCAAACACGCAGGGACATTGCCTTGGGCTTTGCGGATGACGGGGCGATAATCCGTGCTACCACGGCGACCTCTAGCTGGACTGGTCGGCATGAGGTATGCGCTCTGTGGTCTCTGATGAACTGAGGGAGTGGGAGTCATCGGATTTGAATCTCTTGATCTGATCCAAGACGGTGGGTCCTCGCGGAATTGGGTGAAGACCGGGGTGGATGTAGTATTACTGGTAATAGTGGAGGACGGCTGCCGCGCCATCAGGCTCTCCAAAAGGCCCAAGTCGTATTGCTGACCCACACAGCCGTGGTATAGAAAGGAAATAATTGAAAGTCGATAGAATTAGGGACGCAGATTTGTATTTCTGAAGTAGCCCAAGAGTCGGCGATCAAGTCCCTGCAATGACGACAGGGAAGAAAAGTGTAAAAAGCGCCAAGACGATCGGCGCCCAACGAAAAGAAAAGGAAAGAGCCGCACGTCATGTGGACGCTAACCCAATCAGTGTTAGAACAGCCGTACCTCAGGTAACCGTTGCCATGGGAGAAAGAACTATACGCTGTATTTATTCCCCTGGATCTCTGCTCTGCTGCTCTCTGAATCCATCTTCCCTTTGCATTTTTCTCAGTTACGCTCGTATCTGATATTTGATTGCATAGTATATGATTCGTTTTGTCGGTTTATACTTGCATACACTACCATTTCGTTGCGTCTTAGACCTACATCCTCATTGAATGACCGGATCTGGCAATTGAGATCGAGGAGCATTTTCTTCTCTTGAGCACCTTCTAATATACCATTCGTTGGGAATTGCACGTTAAAAACATGGCTACTCCATTGATATCGACTCCGGTGAAGTCCCATCACGGACTGTTTTCATCCAAGACCGCTGGCGGTCGCATGCCTCTGACACCATCTCCTCACGCAAGAAGAGCGAGTGTGGCATCAAATCATTCATCTCCCTTCACACCTCCTCGTCAATCGGCAGATGTTACGAAAGACAACGGTCGTTCGGTCTACGGCGGCAATCTCTCCTCATACTTTGCTAAATCGGTCGCGAAGACATCAAAATCTTACCGAGAATCTCCCAAATCAAACATTGCAAGGACGCGCAAGTCACCGAGGCATCTTGAGCTTGGTGTCTCGGACTGGTCTTTAACCGGCACAGGCCCCTCGTCGGGGCAGTCTCCGTCATCGAAAGAGCGAGTGCGCAAAGAAGTCTCTGCTCGCACAAGGTCGGGCAAGACCACCGTTCGCATCGCTCACAATGCTGGTGACAGATTCATTCCCAACCGGTCAGCAAGCGAAGGACTGACAACAACTGGGACTGCCAAACCCGAGGAGAACCAGCGGCCTAAGACGGGCAGCAGTGAAGGATCCGCCGTTCTTGCAAGTGCTGCGAGCGCCTTCGACATCGGAGGTCGAGGCGGCGACGATGATCTGACTGCTGCTCTTGAAAACCTTGGTCTTGAGGACAACGACAATTCAACGACGTCGTACACCAAGCCAGCACCAGATGCGGTCGCCTACGAATCGTCGCTCGCTGACGCCTGCGGCGTCAATTTGAACACTCGCATCCTCGCCTTCAAGCCACCACCTCCAGAATCGTCAAAGCCAATAGACTTGAGAGCACAGTACAATCGTCCATTGAAATCAAGCAAAGCCAAAGGTTCTCAATTCCGCCGCAGAGTCCAGACCGCTCCTGAGCGTGTATTGGACGCCCCTGGTCTTCTTGATGATTACTATCTCAATTTGCTGGACTGGAGCTCTGGCAACCAGGTCGCTATTGGTCTTGAGCGCAATGTCTATGTGTGGTCGGCGGATTCTGGATCTGTCAGTTGCCTGCTAGAGACTTCCCCAGACACATACGTAAGCAGTGTCAAATGGAGCGGCGATGGCGCATATGTTGGAGTGGGTCTCGGCACGGGAGAGGTGCAGATCTGGGACGTGGAGGAAGGCACCAAGCTTCGAAGCATGTTTGGCCATGACTCCCGTGTTGGTGTGATGGGCTGGTCCAAGCACACATTGTCGACCGGTGCGCGCAGCGGTCTCGTCTTCAACCACGATGTTCGCATCGCTCAACACAAGGTCGCAGAGCTCGTCTCCCACACGTCAGAAGTATGTGGTCTCGAATGGCGACCCGATGGCGCTCAACTCGCCACCGGCGGTAATGACAACCTGGTCAACATCTGGGATGCGCGGTCTCTGAGTGCTCCCAAGTTTACCAAGACAAACCACCGCGCGGCCGTGAAAGCTTTGAGTTGGTGCCCTTGGCAGTTGAACCTGCTCGCGACGGGTGGCGGCTCGTATGACCGTCACATCCACTTCTGGAATACCACCACCGGTGCCCGGACCAACAGTATCGATACTGGCTCACAGGTCACCAGCTTGAGATGGAGCAACCACTACCGAGAGATTGTCAGCTCAAGCGGATTTCCTGACAATTCTCTGAGTATCTGGAGCTATCCCACCCTGGTCCGTAACGTAGAAATTCCGGCTCATGAGACCCGAGTTCTTCACAGCTGCCTGAGCCCCGACGGTCAATTGCTGGCCACCGCCGCTGCTGATGAGAGTTTGAAATTCTGGAAGATCTTCGAGCGCAAGCCTGGAACCAGTGCCTCGGCGTCCCGGGAAGGTGGCGTTGGAAGCAAAGCTCAGATGACCAAGTCTATGACCATTCGGTAGATGGACGTCTGCTCTTCTGCGAAATTTGACTTGTTTCTTATATCCTGACTTTATGCTACATCTTTTTATTGGAGGATTTCGCATGCGAGGCGTTCTGATGGGTTGACTCCTTATCTTTTGGTTTCCTGTATAGAGCCTGGGCACTAATACTACTAACATAAGACATAACTCACCAATCTGTAAGATCTATTTCACTTTGTAGACGTGACTGATCCTGGAAGTGAGCCTTCCATATCCATCAGGCAACCTGTTTGAAGTATAGTGTCAGATATCGCTCAGTTTGATGATGGGGAGATGACGACGTCACTCAATTCAAAGGAGACCAGTAATAGTTTAATTTCTCACTGTATTCCTTTGAAAGAAGAGTTAGTAATTTATTACTCTACAGAAGATGAGGATGAAGTGAAGCACTCATCCCTCCCAGTTCTGGCCATGGTTCACTAGTTTGAGCGTGGGCGGAGATCATTACTAAGCACGCTGAGAGGAGGACGGATTTCGCCCGGGGAGAGCGACTTTGACCTCAACCAGAACCCTACAGTACGCTGCGTTGCCGTCTTTCTCTACCTGCCGATTCCCCACCAGAGCGTCGATTTCTCGATATTTGCAATTGTTCAGATTCAGTCTCACTGCAGAAACACATACTATCCACACGAACAATTTCATAACTTGGAGTTGCTTAGGTGTCATTAGACGTCGGGGCTGACCGGTCGCATCTTGGCCGTGGCAACTGACCGTTGCTGCGACGGAGGTTCAGTTCTGATAGACCAGTGGAACACAACGCCTTCCCTGCTGGACCTTAGTATAGAGAACAGGAAGAAACGAAACAAAGAAGCTCTGATCTACGTCCTCTCATTCTTGAGTCTCTCTTATTGCCGCAACCATGTCTAACCAGCAGGTGGTGAGTGCTATCTCCAGGCAGCCCTACCTTACCTGACCAGAGAAACTCTGGAGATCTTTGGGCTTACCCTGTCTTTGTCCTTCTCCTTCTCTCCGTGATAATCTTCAGCCCATATTTTGTGAGGATGTTGGCTTATACCAGATGATGTGCAGGGCACGGTGTTTGATCGTGTCATCCAGGAGGTCTGCGATGCTTCTCAGGTCGATTTCGAAGAAAGTGGTGTCGATCAGCAAACGTTAATAGATCTGCGAAAGGTGGGTTCAAGATATCTCTTCATTCTGTGATGATTACTTTGGTGGAAAACCATCATGATGCCCTTGATTCCCAGGGAGCGGTGTTCTGTCGTGATCGATCCCGGCCCAAGGCGGGGGTCCGAGGATTGCGGGAGGCGGCGCTGCTTCCGGGGGAAACACCAGCTTTTGAGTCTCTTTATACCGCGCCGCTTTTACCCGCTCCTGTGGCCCGTTTTGGAGAGGGGCGCGATTAGTCCGCCAAGGCCCGCGCCCACTTAACAGATCACAGTAACGGCGCTATCTTCGTCATCTATTCTTACTGTTTTATTTGTTTATTTCTTTCTGGTCTATTTTATTTCATTGCATTGTCTATTTCTTTCTGATGCTGTTTCCATCATTTTCCTCTCTATGATATCTTACTGAAACTATATTCCAATATAGAGCTGGCAGAAAAAGCTCTCGTCGCTTGGTGTCGCCCACTTCCCTTGGGATCCTGCACCACCACAGCCCGCCCCTCCTCAGACTCAAAACCAAATACTCCCTCCTACTGCTCCCGTGCCTTCCAACGCTCCTCGACCCGCTCCTCCGCAACAGACACAGCAACAACATGTTCCGCCCCAACAACATCTTCCCCAATCCCTACCGGGAACTGTACCTCCGATGCAAGCGCCTGCGCCCGCGCACATGGGGCAGCAATCTCACATCAAGACCGAACCAGGCCTCAATGGGCAACCAGGAATGCCTCACATGAGCAACATGATGTCGGCTCCTTCCTCGAATCCTCAGTCGGCACGCGAACGTGCTGCCAATATGCTTCATCAAAGATACGGTGCCGCAGCAGCTAGCTCGGTCAGTCAGTTGCAAGCGCAGTCTCACGCATCTATGGGAATGCCAGGACAGCAGCACCGTCCTCAGTACCCAGCACAGACGCCCAATGGACAGACGCCAGCGATTAAACAAGAGCCGGGCTATCCATCCGCCCCCCAACCCAATATGACTAATTCTCAGACAGATGGTGCAGGGGGCGATGCTTTATCAGATTGGAAAGCGGAGGTTGCACGGAGACGCGAGGCCGCAGAACGCCAGAACGGCGAGGGTGATCGGTTCCTACGCGAACATTTGAGACAGCGCATGCTTCAATTCGAGGGAGGTGGACTACTTATGCCTCTAGATGAGCGTCAATCCTCGTCATCAACATCGAGACGGGAACCTTGCCTTACTGATGCCCACTCTGCTGTCGAAATCAACTCGATCGCGAACTCTGCCCGGCCTCAGGCGCAGTTTGATGGCCCTGGTGGCGACGATGGCAGGGAGGAAGACGATGAAGATGCCATCAATTCCGACCTCGACGATCCTGACGACCTGGTTGCCGAGGATCATGATGCTGAAGATTCTGTTGGACAGGTCATGCTCTGTACGTACGATAAAGTGCAGCGCGTCAAGAACAA